GCAACAGTGCACGGTAAGCAGAGAAAATCAACTGTTTGGCTCACAGCAACCCTCCTCCGATACGCCTATACCCGACCATCTGACGTTCCATGTTTGTTGCGGGTCAGCCATCTTGTTTGCACAGTGCACACATCAGTCACATTCATGCTCGGTTACAATCATGATTACAACAAATACAAGTTAGCAGAATGGTTTGACAGGTCTTTAACATAAAATTGAAATCCCACTATCAATTAAGTGAAAGTAACGAGCTAAAACATGCAGGGAAAATTAATCTAGGCCTAGGGCCAACATGAATTTGTGAACTGAACCCAAGTCAAAACATTAGGCCTATCGTGTCCATGATAACTTTCATGACCTGATGACTTTCATGACTTTTGTGACTGTCAGTGATTGTCTGTCATGAGTTTCATGACTCTGAGTTGGGAGTTCAAGACTGGGAAACAATGATATATGATTCTTGATAACTCATTGTTGGAAATCTCCCAACTCCTCATTTTTTGGTAAAATAAGAAGTTTATCACACGAAAAACGATCACCATGCCCACCCCAGATGATGGCCAGAGCTCATATTCAGCATTTAATATGAACTGTAGGGTTCGTCATCCGTCGCGCTCCCACTGCAGTGGGTGACAAACCGCGCAGTTCTGGGGGTACATGTACATGTAATTCAGTCATCCAGGCCGTGTGCAAAGATCGCTGCCTGTCCGCATCCACGTGCGGCCTCAACAGAAAGTGTTCACAGTGTGACAGTGTTGTTCTACTCCCACTGTTCCTTTATAAAATTGAGAAAAATTGTAAGAAATTCTCTGCATCTGATAATTTCTTTGTTTTTTCCTGATGTCTGTCTGATTTTTTGACATCCAATTGCACAGCTGCAAGAAAGGTCAAGATATCGCTGTGTAATAAAAAAAAGCTACTGATTTCCACCGTTAGGTTTGCTTTTAATTGACTTATGTGTTTTTTTGTAGTGAGGAAGTGTAATGTGGGGACATATGGAGATGAATGACAATTCTGTTGGTTGCTTTTCCCAGGTACGGGAGTTGTTGGGGCCATCTGTCCGTCCGTTCAGACCTGTGCTAGCCAGGGTAGATCCGAGTGTGTGGACCCAGCAAAGGGCTGTGGACCTTGCATCGACCGGTACTTTACTGAAGTGGGCAACACCTGCCAACGAAATGCAGATCACGGTAGGGATTTGTGCATTCAGAGCAGTTCACTACCAATGCATCGTTGGCATGGGAGAGTCTGAAGATGTGTAATACCTGTATATTGTGTGGTGTGTGCATGATGTTTGGAAGTTGTCCCCAAATGGCCCAATCTTGACTCTAGAGGATACGCCCTCAAATGTCTTCCAAAATCTTCCACTGTACAGAAAAACCAATGACCTGTACTTTGCACAGTTTTGAAAGGGCAGCAAGCCCCCCCCCATGTAGGAGTAATAGTGCCCTCCTCCCAAACCTGCTGGTGGATTTTGAATAATCAGGGCTGCCGATAGCCAGCCTGAATAGAACTAGGTCAGTATAAAACTTGTTAGTGCCTCAGTGTCCAAACCCCCCATGCCTGCCTGCCTTCAGGGTATAGTTTACAGGCCAGTAAACTTCATTGGAACCTTTGTGTCCAGATATCCAGTGGGAGGGGAAATTCTTCTCTGACCTTTAGCCTACTGTCCTTCTTCTGGTAACTGGGGTCGCATACATTTAATCTTTTTGATGAGTAAATTAAAAGACAACTGGTGAATTTTGCATACTGCCTACGGTTTGAAGAATAGAAAATAAAAACACATTGTTGCTTGTTGTAAAAACCTCTACATGCAGTTTTGGATCCACAAAACCTGCCAAGCACTTACACGGTGTACATGTACACGTACGCAAGGGTCGTACTGCACTTGTGCAAACATGTACTGTACATGTACATGGATGGCCTCGTGATGTGCACAGGAGCAAGAATTGAAATCGGAGCTAAGATTTGTCCTTGTCATGTGCACACAGTACTGGCAAGAAAGACACAGTGAGGCGGGAGATTATCTGAAGGGAGCCCTCTTGTGGCTGGAGATTGCCAAGTTTGCAACCATATGGTAGCTTTGCAGTCTTCCACGACAGCGTAACAGAATGGTATATTTGTACTGCTGCGTGCATGGGTGTGTGTATTCAAGTCAATGAAAAGAAGCCCCTTATCATGTTTATGCAATTCAAGTAAAATAAACAAATCCGAACATTTTTGAAGTGGATTTTTATAGTACATATATACCTGAACAAGTGTTGTGGAATTAGGCAGCCTTGCAGCCATTGAAGAGTGGGTGCTTGATTCATGTATATTTTTAAACTGTTCAATAGTACAGGTGGATCAGGGGAATACAAAATGAAGTTAAAAACTGTTCAAAGATATTGAATATTTGCTTTGAGACTCGGTACATATTGTGGTCAATTAAGTATTTTTACTGTGCTCAGTATTTTCTGAGAGCATTCAAAGGAGTTTCTCAGTATTTTCAAACTTAATTCATCGGACAAATTTCCATCAACTGTCATAATTTACACATGTACATATGGGTACCAAATGTGCAATGTACACGATGCAAATATTCACAAAGTATAATTTACTGTACCTGTGGTACAGAGCACCGATACATGTACTGTTAAAAATTCTTTTACTCTTTCAATGGTAAAATTCCTCCATAAATCCTTTCACTTTGATATCGGACAGGTGTACAGAAAATATCATGAACAGAAACTGAGCTAGAACAAAAAATGGCAAACAATAGCTGTGAGAAGGTTTTATGTTCTCCCTGCACATGCATGTATTCACTCCATTTGACTGACCTCAGAAAAATAAAGTGGAACTAAATTTAAGAAGTATGCGTAAAAGCATATCCATTTGGTTTCCTGTTGTTTCCTCTAAGAAGTCACAATGGAAGCAGATAAAACAAGCCTAGCTGAAAATTGCCAATTACCGCAGTACATTTTTACATGTATCGGTACCTCTTGTCAGACAAGTCACATTGAAAGCAACCTCGACTCCAGGGGTTGCGTGCGCGTTCCTTCTCTAGCCCCTGGTTGTGTAGAATACGAAAATGATGCTCTGACTGGCTATTCAGGATGAATGTAACGTAAAGTGGATCACACGCGTAGAAATGTCAAAAAAAGCTACACGCTCGCGTCCACGTATTCTCTTGCACGTCACTCGCGTGTAAATCTATGTTGCGCGTAAACGTACTATAGTTGTAATTTATACCCCGAATTGTGGGATATTAAAGTATACCATACCAGGGCTTAAGATTGAACACCATCCTGGCATGCTAGGAACCAACACAGTGCAGCAAGATCGTACCTAATGGGAACGAGGTTGCATTGAAAGCTAATGCATCTTCCCCCCAGATATTAGAGAGGCAGCCACTTCATTTGAACCTCTCTAAAATTAGTAAACTACAACGGTAACTTGAGGCGGGCAGAAAACAGATGACTCCCTCCAGGTTGTGAATTTGACTGACGGATTTCCAATAATCATCTAAGGGGCGAAGATCTAGGCAAATAACTGACACAGTGTACACATGCAATATGTTTGCAGAGTATGTATAATCTGATTAGGAAGCTTCCCTACTCACACCGACAGGTGTTGTTTTGGGGACTGTCGGCCAAAGAAAACCAACTCTCACTGTGACCTGATTTGCATGTTAGACTGTGTGGGTGAGTGTGTGTATACAACTTGCCAGCGTAGCCGAATCCTAAGCAACTTGGTCAAGGAGGCCTAGGCGTGTTATAGAAGCCCCTACTCAGTAGGATCTGCATCGTATGATCTGCTTTCCCCCACCGCAGGCATCCCGGTCAGAAGAAAAGGATGAAAACTGAAGCTTTAAGAAGTCCCAAAATGTTTTGAATGCTGTCAGATGTACCAGTACATGTACTGTACTTACCGTGTACATTGGAGGCCTCCTACACAATACAGGAAATTTCAATTTTGTTTTCAATTTTGTCACTTTTTGTCTTGGTTTTAAATGTGCATGCACCAACCAGTAGGCCTACCCACTACTCTACACGTACATGTATGTACATAAGTGTGCATAAATGTACATGTATCTACTCAGGACTTGAATTTTGACTTTTTTGGGGCACTGCCATTTTGGCCTCAAGAAATGGGACATGTTAAGGGGTATCACGGCCAATAACAGTGGCAACAAGGCCAAAATTTCTACAAAGATAGGCACTGAGGTCAAGGTGTAAAATATTCTGCAAAACCAGTTATGAAACTGGAGAAACGAAAAGTGGTGTTTTATGTGTTTGAGCTATCATTTAAATATTTTATAACCCATGATAAAACATCAAATTACATGAAGAACAGGCACATTTTCTGACAAAGGATTTCTTAATTTAGAAAAAATTAATTCATAAAGAATTTAAGTGAATTAAACAACAGATTAAACAAAGAGAACATGTTTTGTTTTGATTTTGACATCTTTTTCGACTGCACAGCGAGATCTTACCAACCAAAGCCCCCTGCGCTGTAAAGTTGACCAACCCCGGTACGTCACAGAATAATCAGTTACACACATGTAGTTAACACAGCTGCATGCATACATGTACATCAGGCCTCGAAATAGTACGAGCCCAGCGTACAAATTCTAGCTAAAAATGCTCTGGGCTACCTAAACTTGGTTCCTTGGTTGCCCGGTGGGCTAGTGAAAAATTCAGGATAAACCAACCTGTTAAAACTTAGATCAAAGTAAATACTTGTATTCCATAAAAATCAATACATGTACATGTATATCAACATAAATACCAGAAAGCAGGCAAAAAATGGCAATTTTTGCCTAACGTAAGCAACCCAAATGAGGGGAAAGATGGAGCAAACAGGTGATTTTGTTTTCCGACTCCGTTACCAGTGAATCAAGCGATATTTAACTAGCATACATGTACATGCTGCTTTATTTATACCATCAGCCTTTTATTTTCTGAAATGTCAAATTCTTTATTGGTGAGCTGATAACAAATTTGGGGTTTCAATTTTTTATATACGGGCTAGTAAAACTCTAAACAGGCTAGTAAAACATCCAATTAAGTAGCCTAGTGGGCCAGCCAGGAAAAAAAGCGCAAGGCCTGATACGTAAACCAAAACTAGCGAGATAAAGACCTACATGTACATGTAGCTGTAGCTACGGAAGCCCGTTTCAGACACGGCCTTCGCCCATGTACGTATGTCCCAGCTGGGATGCTGCACATCATGCCGGGTTAGGCTGGCTGGCCCCATTCACCTGTACATGCAGTACATGTACGTGCCTGGAGCGAATAAAGATGCCCTTCTGTATACATACATGTACATTTTTGGGTGCGTTGCGTACCCGATGCGTTTCACTTTCGCAGACACATAAATCGACCCATTAACATACATGTAACACATTTGTGCGTTGTGTTCATCCGTCAAAATCGCTGGAGCAATTTTGACAGATACACAACGCTTGGCACAAGTGTTGACGTGCATATGGAAAGACACCTTAATCATCCACTGAACGTTGGACTGCAGAACGAAATACACATTTAATGTATGTATTGTAAATTGAAGTCAATCGCAGCGTAGGCAAGCCTCATCGTGTGACATGGCATGCATGCTGCAGCGTGGGTGTCGTCCACCCATGTGGCATGAAGACGATCGTGTATCGGTAGATACGTGAATATGAAGTCGGAAACTTACGGGAAATATACATGTACATGTAGTGTATATTTTTAGGGGCTGCACTGCCAGGAACAATGGAGCACATGGCCAGCTTTGGCCATGGATAGGGTGGAAGTTTTCAGGGCACCACGGCCAATTGTTAGGGCACCGATTGCCATGACGGGCACCAACCACCACGGCTGCGGAGAAATTCAAGTGCTGTGTACTGTATTTGTATTATTAACCCTAACAGTCCTCAGTCCTCCAACAGGTGAAGGATTGAGGAGTGTTAAGGTTAAGCAAAGAGCTCTTATGACCGTTTCTTACCAAACAACAGGCAGTAAGGTTTAAGATTCTCACAGTGGGACCAAAGACCCCACTGAATTGTGAAACATTCTTATATTGATTATCCCAAATCCTCAAACAGACCCAACATGGATGACGGGGAGAAACAGTTGGCAAGAGATTTGGCCCCAAAGCATTTGGCTAAACATGGAGGTACAGGTAGCAACATAGGCAAACCATAGAGTAAGTTGTGGTACAGTGG